TGTTGCGTGGTCGGTTGTGGTGGTTTTTTTTGGGTTGCGTTGTCTTGGGGTCTGTGTGTGTTGCTACTCGTTTTGTTGTTTTGTGTTTGTTTTGTATCGTGGCTGTTCCGGCTGGGGCTGTATGCGGTGTCTCCCCGCCAGCCTGCCCTCAGATCTGGAGCTTCTTCTGTTGATGGTTGTGTTGAGAATTTGGCGAGCTTACGATTTTTTTTCTTGTGTTGCTTAGTGTGGTTGTTGTGTAGGTTTCATTGTTGTTTGTTTTGTTGCATCGCGTGTTGTGCCTGTGTTAAGTGTATTTCTGTTTTGGCTTCCTCTAGCTGAACTCTTGTCGTTACAGTCTTCGATGTGGTTGTCCTTTGTTTGTGTTTTGCTGTGGTGTTGTTTAATTTGCGAAATGTCGTTGTTTCGCCTTGAATCTGCATTCGTTTAGTGGATGGTTGTGTGCGTATCCTCGATTTTCCTGTTGGCAAGTTGTTGTGGGCCCGTTGCATGGCCTAGTGATTTTTAATAATGAGATGTTCTCTTGAACTTGAATGTGGATCGCGCATGTTTGGTAGTTTATAGTATAATAAGATACTGGTTGTGATTGTGTGCGAGTCTCTGTGAGGTTGGTGGCCTGTGTTAGAGAGTGAGCTTGGAGGCAGCTCTGTCATGTTTTTGGGAGCGGTGTGGGTGAGACAGGTGACAATGCAGGAGAGTTGACAGTAAAATGTAAATCGAGAATGCAATATTAGAGAGCCTTATGAAGTAAGTCTATGTCGCGAGCACTTGTTATCACTGGCATAGGGGGGATGTTAAAAGAGTGAGCTGTTAATTGAGTGATTTGAGAGTTTATTGTCAATGTAACAGTAGCACTGACCTGGGGCAGAGCCATTGACTCTTACATTGTTGGATTAGTCGTTTCTTGTGGCTTGAGTATCAGGATCTCATTTTCCATCCTCTATTGTGCCGTGGATGCCTTCATTCTTTTGAGGGCCTTATTCAGGTGGGCGTTTTCTAGCGATGTCCATGTTCCTCAGTCTGACAGCTTGGACAAGGGTGGGGTATTTATCTGATTTGAGGACTAACATACAGGACGACGTTCTTCCATTATGTATGATGAGAGGGGCATCGCATCGAGCTTATGTTCACTTTTTCCTTCAAAACTTCCTGTTGCTGTTTTGCACCAGAGGACGAGAGAGACAGGAGGGTTGAGAATCTCCTGATCTCGTAGGTATATGTAGGTTCCATAGCCACAAAAACTCTGGGTCCTACATTTCCTTTGTCCGTGTAGAAGCACACGAGAGATTAAACCTGAATTGGTGCTTACCATTAAATATTAAACGATTTTATATGTAGTATGCTATAGTAAAGATAACTGATCTTGCCTAAAATTGAGACATCAATGAGAACGGTTTCTTTTATCAGACGCTCCAAAACCTCTTGAGGTGAGATGCTGCGATAAACCATATACTTCATTTTGTGTCTTGTTGCCAGGTAAGTCAGGCACAAGTCATCTTCCTGTCTTAGAGTAACTTACCTCCACCTAGCTGCCTGTGTGACACACCCACACACAACACTTCAACACCTACACACACACTTGGACACCACGGTGTTCACACACAACACCCACACACACTCACACACACAGGACACTACACAGCACGTTGCTCCTGCTTCAGTCAGACAGCCCTGCGAGACTGAGGCAGATTATATTAATGAGAGTGAGGTATTGGTGTTTAATGTGTGGAATTGGCGAAATGGACAACGTGACTTTATAAAAGATGCTTTTATGGGGGGGGGGGGTAAGTGAGGCGAAACAGGAAGTTGTGATAATTTTTTCTAAAATGTTTGAAATGTTCTTTCCTTCATTTGGGTCTGAACCGGCCTTTCTTCTAAGACCAGGACCAGGACAGACAGATTAATAATAATAAGACTAGTAGGCTATACTGCACATACGATGACAGAGTCCTGGACGGGATGATTCTTCACAGCAGGGATTAGCTTAAATAGTGGCAGCGGCAGCTAGCTGTGGCTCTTCCTGTCCCACAGCTGCCGCAGCTGTAGAGAAGATGCACAGCAACTTCTGCTTGTTTTGGTGCATCTGCTGGTGTGCTGAAGTTAAGATAAGAATAACTCAAAATCAAATATCAGGTTTATTGCCAAGTAGGTTTTCACATACAATGAATTTGCTTAGCAACACCGGTTCCCTCCACAAAATGGGATTTTCCCATTGGCTTTTGGATTATTAGAGAAAATAACATCCTGACAGGTTTAGTTCAGCAGATATCTTTTCACTACTGAACACCACTTTTATTGATGTTTGAAGCATAAATACAATAGCAGAAGTAAAAACTAATGTAAGGCTATAAACCAACTACACACGGTCACAGTATTTTCAACATCTCCACCACTAAACTTCAGCTTGTAGTTTGATTCAGCTCTGACCTCTTCTACAAAAGCCTTTCTTCTGACACAGTTACTAAAATTTGTATAAACAGCAGCGAGGCTGTAAAGGTGGACAGTGAGTAGAAACGTTTTTTTCATCGCATTTCATCATCATTTCAACGTGATGAGTTTAACGTCCCGACACCTTGCAGGTCTCATTTAGACACTTGTTAGCAACGGGCCGTTTTTAACAGACGTAAAAGCTTCAAAAAGTCAGGACAAGAGTATTTACTGATTGTATTTTATGCAGTAGAATAAAACATGAACTGTCTTGAGCTGGTGTTAATCACAGACCTTACTTCAGTCATCAAACCAAAAACCCATTCAACAAACCAGAAACTTCAGGACGAGGGAACAGGAAGCAGAAGATGCAACTAATTTCCAGGTTTTAGGACTCATTCCTTGCAGAGCTCTGTAGACATAGTGAAAAGAAAAAAATATAAAGAAAGATAAAGCAAAAGCAAGTATTGCAAGTCAGATAGCTTATTTTAGTCATTTAGTTGCCACATGTGTTGTTTATAGTGTAGGGGAAGGAGAAGCCGTCTGTTCTGGCCCATGGGGCATTGCGGCTGTACAGAATAACCTGTACATAGCCTACTAGCTATGCTTACTATCAACCTATACATAAGCCTACGCCATTTATTTCTTTCCTCAGATTGCAGCATAACAAACTGTGATCTGAATCAAGGTGTTAACAGCACACAGTTTATTTGAGTGAATTTGACACCTGGGATTTACTATCTTCTTCTTATAAAAGTTATATAAAAATAACGTAGTAAGAGTAAAGTAGGTGTATAAACGCCTTTAAAAATACTGATAAAAAACTTCTCCAGACGTGTGGCTTCTCCGTCCCCACACCATGAAGTGCAGCATCTGACAGTCATGATTATATTAACTGAATAACAGAAAAAAAATATTTTCATTTATGAAACCCACTAGCACATGATTTTTATATAGAATCCTATGATGCAGTAGAGAAATGTAGAGGTTACCTAGACTAGTACTGCAGTGTGTAATGACAGGTCTGGCATTACATTCTTCTACCTTAACTTACACCATTTACTTTTTCACTAAACACAGAAGCAACATTATATTTTGAATCTGACCAGACATCTGAAGCTTTCAGTCCTAAACAGTGTTTGATACTTGAGATTACACACACACTTCTAGTCAGTATCTGTAGGGGCCAGATGCATAAATG